CTTAATTATTGTGCAATATTTAAAGAATGAGACTTTACGTTTTTCTTTGTTTTGTTTCAGTGTTTATTAATTGATAACATCAAATAAACATGTTTGTTGCATTGCATTATCATGCAACTTGTGTGTGTGTCTCTGCCAGAACACAAATGTATTTTTATTCCTTTTATGCCTGATTAGACATGATTTAATCCTTTTAGAGCTTTTGTCTTTTATTTTAGAAGGTTTTTTTTTCACAACAAATATGTTCTGTGGTGTTTCCTCTTATTTAAAATAGAGTTTAATGAGATTTAACTAATTTAATGTGTTTTGTAACATCATGACTGAGTATTTTTGTATACTTAATGTCATTATTCTACTGGATTTCCTGAAAAATCAATCTGGGATCAATAAACTACCCAACCTACTTATCCATCTACCTGAGATTCATGTTTTAATAAGTTAATGGGACACATTAGAATAACCCGTAAGCTAAGTGTAACTCTTGAAATAAACAATTTGAAATATTTCAACACTAGTTGCGTAGATGACGGATGTCGCTAAGTTTGAGTCAGTAAATCCTGCTGTGGTTTTCATGAAAAGAATGTGACAAACACCGCTGTGTTTGACTTGTCTGCGGTGTCATTTGAATGTCACGTGCCAAACTAAAAAGGGAGAAGGGCAAAACACTGCTGATGCAAGACGTCACTGAACTCAGCATTTCTTTCAGCTTCGTGATTCAAAGCTGGACAGTGAGGCAGCAGCTTACAGCCAGCTTACAGATTAGGGAAGAATCAAGACTTTTGGATCAACTGAGAGAAAACAGGAAGCATTGAAGGCTGGGTAGACTCGGCTCCATTTCAAATCAGCAGAAAAGGGGCCTCGAAGACCACAGGCCCCGATGAAGCAGTAAAAAAGCTGAATCACATGTTCCTCGGCCCAAACTGAAAGTTCACAGAGGAACATTAATCTGAGTTTGTGGATTAGAGCGAACAGCAGAAGCGTGTCTTAACGCTTCGGCAGAGAAATGTGGCTTTTCCTTTTTAATTATCGCTCCCTCCCAAAAGSGAAGGCAGTGATGTGTTTGCCTGCAGTTTGTCTGTAGTGTTAGCAAAATATCTCACGAACCAGCGGATGGACTTTAATGAAACTCTCAGATGTGCCTCTAYAACCGATTACCTTTTGGAGTCAGCTTAATTCAATATGGCCACTACAGCTAATAAACGTTACCCATCAGCTCTGTCAGTTTTCCAAACGTTGAGCTAAAACTTGCTGTGGTCACTGAGCATCGACAAAAAACTTGGAGCTCTGAAAGATCAGGCAACATTTCACTCCTCCATTCCTTCTTATCATAAAAACGACCCGAGTTTAAAAACGCTGACSTGCATTCCTACAAAAAAAAATCTTTCAATTGCCTCTCCTGGCTCTTGTGATGTTGGGCTGCAAACTTCTTAAATTTTAACATAAATAATAAAATACCATGAAGGGAACAGAAGCATCTTTATCCATTATTCAACCACTGTGTCAGCCTGGAGGAGACATTAGAAATTATAGAGATGCTATAAGCAGGGGGATCACACCTAAAAGGATGGATAATGAAATAACCACATTATTCTTATCATTATTATTATTATTATTATTATTATTATTATTATTA